CACTGAGTCTTCTCCCTCCTCTACTGCTGAAGCCTGGCTCCAGAGGAACAATGCCTCATGTGCAGCTCACAACTAAACATGGAACCAGTCTGGCATTCTCCAGCTACCACTCTGTCACCTCCCCTCTGACCGATAACTAAATCCCACTGAAGTACCATCAACCTCCAACCTCAAAGCCATCCCTTTTCTAGAACAATCTAGCAACGCTTGCTGAGACAGCTAGAACACACATAAGCCAAATAGAAAACGAAGAAAGACAAGTGTCCACTCTAATTCACAGCTGTTGGGGAGGATGGGCTTCCCTTAAATTGAGCAAGGCTACCAGTGCCTCTGTGAATACAGCGATGGAGAAAACGGAGGAGGAAACTGGAGACAACAACAGTCTCTTCCCTGAGCTCCAAGCAACAGCAGGCATCTTCTTCCTGGAAAAGTCTCAAAGGCCTTGAAAAATTCTCTGCTGTGATATTAAAATAGGGCACCATCTAAGACAGTTCTTGGTTCCACAAATTGTGTACCACTCCCTAGAACAGTGTGGATTACCATGTTCATAAACAAATAGAACATATCTCATCAGGAAGGTCACAAGCTCTCTTCTACCATGAATCCGATATGAATAATCAAATATGCAGGAAGCTGGTTAGCAAAGCAACTCGGCCACACTGGAGATTTGAATTTAGGTGAAGGAAGGGAAGTATAGTAAGATTACAAAAATCTCTTTTGGATTATTCCAAACAGTTACTAGGAGAGAGAGAGGGGAATATAAAGAGGGATCCACTGACTTCTACCATCTGTTGGTAATTAAGAAAAACCTTTTCCTCCTGAGAAAGATAGTGCTTCATCAGGCCATGCATCTGATGACCTAGGAGGCATCAGGAATCTCTGCAGAGATTAAACTCCTCTGTTGGATACAAAAGATGCTGGTTTCACCACAGACTGGAACCCTGGAGCTCTGCTCTGAGCAGTCCTCTTTTAGCTCTGCCAAAGCCAGACTTCAGAGAAGTAGCACACTGTCTGAAGCCCAGATCAAAGCCTAGCAAACCAAGCAAACCACAAATCAGTGATGATCCTGAACTGGGCCTTAGATCATGCTACTATACTCGGCACTGGTGATACATTAATGAAGACTTTCCACTCTGACTTGCAATTTTCCTGCCCATGAGCTGGTCTGGCTGAACACCCTGGGCAGGGCCCAGCAGCGGCTTGAGGGGAGGGGTGGTGTGGGGGGGCGGATCCCAACCAGGCTGGTGCCCTCTCAGTTCAGGCTCTGGCCTGGTCTGAGGCTTGTCTTTGCTTGTGGGCGACACAGGAAGGCAGAACTGCAGGAAGGGAGGTACCGGGTGGAGCCTGCAAAACGTGAAGCATGGTGTAGGTGGTGGCTTTGTCTAACTAGTCAAGAGTGGGAGCGGGATGGGACGGGGGACTTAGTATCCTCCAAGAAAGAAACCATCTCTCTGGTAATACTTTAAAAAGGGTTCCCTTTGCTCTCTGCGATGGGCGGGAAAGAGAGGGAGCCGTGGGCATAGTTCATTTTAAAAGAGAAAAGACTAGAGCTTTCTTCTCCTCTTTTCACCCCTCCCTATCACCAATGACCCACCTCCCCGCCCCCTGTCCATTAACCATGGGTAGAGGCTCTGTAGCTTGGCCTTTCTCATAATTAGCTTTCTTCATGGCCACTTCCAGACTACTAGGCGCCTAGGAACTGCAGTACCCACCCTCCAAACCCAAACCCGGGTTGTGGGGTGTCGCCCCATCCCTACTATACGAGACTACAAAACCCGGAGAACCATGCGCGACAGGCAAGGCCAACTCCCAGGGTCTCGCAGGGGTCCACTTGGGGGATGTAGTCCGACGATCGGGTTGCGCCTCTAGCTTAGAACAGCAGAGGGGAGTGAGCGACTACAATCCCCACAGTGCTCGACGAAACGCGGAGCGGGCGAGGCGGGCGCGGTGGTTGCCGGGGGCGGTAGTCATATGACAGCTCCAGCTAATTAAAAACAACGGCAGGGAGTAGCGTGGGAGACTACAAGTACCATGGTGCATCGCAAGGAGGCGGCACCCAAGCCTTGCAGGCCCCGGCAGAATGACCAGGGCGATGCATGATCGCCGCAGGCGTGGGGAATGGGCTTACCGGTGTGTCGAAGGAGAAGGCGCACTCGTCTTTGTGGACCCGGTCTCCAGCCTTAGGAACCCGGATCGTCGGTAATACTGACAGCAGCGCCTCCTCACTCAGCTCCGCCATGACACCGGCAGCAGCTCCTCCACACACAGCGGCTCCCACCGTTCCTAATCCCCCACCCCCTACTTTTGCGATCCAATGAGGACTACTCGTTAGGTGCATGCGCTACAGGAAAGACGCGCGAGAATGGCAGTTGGACGAGCCTGCCTACGAGTGCTCCGCCCTCTGCCCTACTCTTGACTAACACCAATGAAAAGCGCTTCCAATGCAATCGATGGTCGAAAGGACCAATCCCACTCTTCCAGGGTAGAGCGCCTGTAGAGCGCTGAGATTGGCGCCGGAGTTCCTGCTGCTCGCTTTCTGGGATCCCTACAGACCCTTCGCGTGCCTTCTATTGAAGAGCAGAAACTGACGGTTGTTTAAACCAATCTCAGTAACTTTCTTGGGGACTCGTCCAATCGGAAAATAGGCAGCTGTGTTCTTGGTATTTGAAAAGAGGCTATCCAATGAGGCGGAGTTTGAGAGGTTAGTGATTGATAATGCCACCAACGAGTAAAGATTACTATTTTTCTCGCCTCAGAAAAATCTTCATAATTCCGTCTCCTCCTGGATTTATATATAATAGCGTAATAATTTCTTATTTTTTAAAAATAAAATAATTTGGTTTTGAAACTCGGAATCTCAAAAGCGAAGACTGGGACTCCTCAGAGCCTCACGGTGGACAACTCGTGGCCCAATACAGAACAAAAGTTCCCTTTTATCAAAGAGGCGTCACCCCTGGGCAAGCCAAGCTGCTGCCCATTGGCCCCCTGGTCCCCATGAGCGACGTCCTCCCAACCCAATGGCTTCCTGCAGTGGAGGCGGTTCTCACATAGCGGGCCTATAGGAGTCTGCGTCGACTCAGCCAATAGGGTCACAGAAGGGGGCGTGGCGGGAGGTTTGAAACTCAGCTCCGGGAGTTGAGGCTTGAGCAGCAGTGCACCCAAAGGTGAATTTGGGGCCTGGTAAGTGTGATTTGAATAAATTAGAGGGCCCGGCAGACCCGGAATGAGCCGCCTAGTCAGCTGCGCCAGTTTTTGTCCCCGCAGAGGCTTCTGGCCTAGTGGCCAGGAGGTTCCTCAGCTAGTAACCGGGAAGATTGGGTGGTCTGGAGTACGAGGTCGGACATGTTCGCAGTGAGCACTGAGACCTGAGTAACTTCTCACAGGCATCCCCTCCTTGCCCCGGGCCGGGCCTTGCCCCACCCTGTTCTCCTGGTTGAGATGGGCTCAGCCAAGAGCGTCCCAGTCACTCCAGCGCGGCCTCCGCCGCACAACAAGCATCTGGCTCGAGTGGCGGACCCGCGTTCACCAAGTGCCGGCATCCTGCGCACTCCCATCCAGGTACTCTGGGCCAGGTGTGGGATAAGCAGAGAAACTGCCCGAATTCTTGGGCCTCTGCCTAATCTGATTCTGAGAGAGCCCTCTGCTTCTCTACTTTGAAGCTTCATTTTCCACATTCTCAACTCAGTGGGTAGGGTAGGCTGAATGAAGGCCTTAGCAATTCCTACCTGGAACATCTGGCCTGAGGCTGGAGACTTAGGAGAGAAGAGTCAGGGCCCAGACTTTTCTAGACTTTGGTCCTGACAGGTGGAGAGCTCTCCACAGCCAAACCTACCAGCAGGGGACCAGCTGGAGGGTTCTAATCAGGCCCAGGGCTCAGATCCCCGCTCTCCTACCCTTGGCATTGCACGGACACCTATGAAGACCAGCAGTGGAGGTAAGTGTTGGGCCCAGGGAATTCTGATAAGGCTGTCAGCTAGCAACCTTGGGTGGGGTCATTGAAGCTATCTTCTCAGGACTCCTCCCTAAAGGGGCCTCTAACCTCTTATTTTGAACCCATCTCACTCTTCCTAACACTTTGCTCCCTCCCACCTCAATTTCCTTCTTCCCAATTCTTCACCCACTGGGACATGAATCCTAAGGCTTCTGTATGTTTTCCTCCTTGCTGAAGAATTTGTATTAGAGGGTCACTGTCTCACTTCACTTCTCCCCTCTAGAGCCCCCAAGTCCACTGGTGAAAGAGCTGAGTGAAGTATTTGAGACTGAAGGCCCCAAATCGAACCTTCCCCCAGAGACCGTTCTGCCCCTAGAGGCACCTTCATCTTCTGAATTGGACTTGCCTGTGGGCACCCAGTTTTCCCTTGAGGACAAGATGGCACCTGGGAGTCAGACTGAGCTCCCCTCTAAGCAGGTGTTTTCCGAGGAGGAAACAGGACAACCCTCAGAAACTCCTATGGCCAGCCAGGGCTCAGACAAGCCCCTGAGAGACCTCGAGACACCCAGATCTTCAGGTACAGAATCTAAAGGCAAGGTATAGGGAAGAGAATTGGGATCATGTTCTGGGATAATGTCCACAGATAGTTTAGGAAGAATAAACTGTAAACTCCTAATTTTGGCTCCTTGCTTTAACTCCTTACCCACTCTAGGTTCTAAACGCAATAGACGAAAACCAAATGGCAAGGTACTAGGGAGATCTCCCCTCACCATCCTACAGGATGACAACTCCCCTGGGACTCTGGCACCACGACAGGTAAAGGGAGAGAGGGTGAAAGCTAATACTTGGAAATCCAATGTAGAGGTTGGGAGGTCCTTTTACCTGATCATCCACCTCCTGAACAACCACCCTCCCTTGCACACTGCCTTTTGCAGGTTAAGCGACTTTCTCCCTTGAGTGAAAATGTTAGGGAACTAAAAGAAGGGACGATTCTGGGAACTGGACGCCTTCTGAGAACCGGAGGACGAACATGGGAGCAAGGCCAGGACCACGACAAGGAAAATCAGCACTTTGCCTTGGTGGAGAACTAGGCTGTGTGTGGTCCCAGCCCTAGGTTCACCAGGGGTTTAGTGATATTTCATGTCTCCTCACCCCTTTCCCTGGGAGACTGGAAAGGCTCATTTTCTTTGACCCTCTGAACTACCAGCTCGGGAACTGAGAGTTTTCTTGGGCTTTCTTTGTGTCTTATGTGTTTCTTGTATATTAAAGGAAGTGATTTTAAATGCTGGTGTTAAGTGTTATACCTAAACCTAGCACTGGGTCCTCTGTAGAAAGGCAGCCCAGTGAGCTTGTGTTCCCTGGCCTGAGTGCCCACACTTATACTCCCCTTAAATCTTGGTGTTCCCCAGGGCTCTGTCCTTGGCTCTTTCCTCTTGCTCTTCCTAGGTGTTCACTTCTAGAGATTAGCTACTACTTACTTATATTCTGGTAACTTCCAGGTCTCTCTATCTAACCCTGACCTTTATCTAGCTGCCCCGTAGGCTCTTAAAAGTCAGTTTGTCTAAAGTTAGATTTGTTCTATTCCCCCAAAAGGCTATTTCTCAGCCTCTCTTCTTTATTTCTGTGAGTAGCAGCATTATCCACCCAGTTGCCCAAACCCAAACCTTGGCCATCATTTTGAATCCTTCCCTCTATTTAATATCCCATATCCTTGCACTTGGTCACTAAATCTTGGTGACTCTATATCTTTAATCTCTGCCCCCTCAGTCCTATTGTTCTAGCATGTCTTGTCATCTGCTTCCTACCTTTTTCCTTCCATTCCCTTGTCTCTCCCCTCCCTCCACTGTATTAACCCACACAGCTGCTAGGGCCATCTTTCTGAGAAGCGTAGCTGACCACGTTACTTCTCTGTTCAAATCTTCAATGGCTCCCCATTGCCCTTAGGATAAAGTCTAGACTCTAGCTTGGCATTCCAGGCCTTTTATAATCTGATTCTTTCTCAATGTAACTCTCCTGTACAAACACACAAGTACATACCATAGGCAGGCTATAGTGTACTTCTGCACACATGCTCCCCAGCCACCTGATGAATACCTTCTCTCTTGCCCCAGCTCGGGCCTTCCCCACAAGGCTTGGGCTTCTGCTTCTGCCCTACTTTCCGCCCACAAGCTGTCTGGTACCCAACATTTATCGCTACACCTGTAATACTTTATTACTTAAATGGGAACTGAATCTTTCTGGAAGAGAAGTAAGTGAAAGCCAACATCACAGACAAACCAGGGTGCTATACTTTATTGCAGGTACTTTAGGAGAGAAGAAAAGGGTAGAAAAAAAGAGAAAGCATGAAGCAGGGGGCCAGGACCCTGTGCTGCCAGAGACAGTTATAAGACTGAGCACCCTGTGCCCTCCAGGTCTGGACAAAGGTTGTAGCTCCAGGGGAGGAATCCTAGGGCCTGGGGCCTCACACTGGAAGCCTGCCGGGCCTGCCAAGGGCTAGGGAGGGGCCAGTTGTCCTTGCTCATTATGGGAGAAGCTGTCATGGAGAGGGGAGGCCATGGGAGAAGATGGGGCAGTTCTCTGCCCCTGTGTCCCTGATACTGCCTTCCAAAGGCATACTCCCCATGTTCCCCACTGTCCTCAAAGGAGAAAGCTTGGTGGGAATAGCAGCTAGGGTATAGGAGAGAAATCCTTAAAGGAACCTTAAAGAAATTGGGCAGGGGAGGGGACAGCTGAGTGTCTTCATGGCCTTTTACCTCCCCTCCTCCAGCCTCCTCAGTTCCAGATTTTGAGGAAGCTGTCCCAGGAACCAGTGGCCACCGCCATCCCATCAGCTGTAACCCCCAGGCAGCTGACCCTGTTGTCGTGGCCGGAGAGGATACCTGAGGAAAAGAGAGAGGAGATAGCCTTCCTCTCCGTGCTGATTTGGCAGGGAGCGTGTGTGCATGTGCAGGAATCCTAGGTTAGGATGAACTGGGACTCTTCAGCCCCTGTGGAGACTGGAAGACTGAAAGAGGATTAGCCCTAAGTGGTGGGGTTTCTCTTGAAGCCAATCTTTCTGTCAAGAACCTGGGGCGGCCGGGGTGGGGGAGGGCAGGGAGGAGTAGGGAAAAGTTGCAAGTGTCAGTGTGTTATGTGAAAAGCAGGAGGCACCTTAATGGGTGCTGGAAAATGAGGAAAGTAACCCTTTCATGTTGTTCCTTTGTTTATAAACGAAGAGACTATGGAGTCAGTCAGTGGCCCAGTGCATGGCCCAGAGAAATGACTTGCCCAAGGGCACACAGAAAGTAAGCCACAAAATTAGGATTTGGATCCTGATTCTCTAGCCAGTGTTATTTTCATTCAGCACCTGGCTTCTAAGAGAAGAAACCACATTGATTCAACTTCAGACCAGGCTGGTCCTAGATAAGCCCCTAGGTTGGGTCGGGGCCCTCAGGTCATTCTAGATCTTGATTCTGCTCATTGCACAGTCCCCTGAGGCTGCCCCTTCCTTCAGCCGATGCCCCTGAAACCCAGACTTGACTGAACATTCAAGGCCTTCAGGCCTGGGGATAACCTGAAGGAGCCCCTTAGGTGGGGAGCAGCTATGACATTGGGTGGGAAAGGGCCCCTTAGAGTAACTTTGTCTTTGAGAGATGGGAACCAAGAGGGACCTGATTCCAAGTGTAGAGCTCAGAGTTATCCAGTAATTAGAGAACAGCAATAGAGGGGCTGGTCCTTACCCACACGCTCGCCCTTCATGGAATCCCAGACATTGCAGTTGAAGTCATCGTAGCCTGCGAAGAGCAGGCGGCCACTGAGGGAGAAGGCCACAGATGTGATACCACAGATAATGCTCTCGTGGGAGTAGGCAGTCAGCTCCTGGTCTGCCCGCAGGTCAAATAGGCGGCAGGAGGCGTCGTCCGAGCCTGTGCAGATGGCCTCTCCGTTGGGGAAGAACTGAGGGCATAGGTGGCAAGAGGGTCAGGACTCAGACCTGGGCAGCCCCTGCCTCTCCTGTCCTCCCCCTGGCTCTTGCCCTGGTAGCTCCAGGGCAAACCACTTCCCTCAGCCTCCTTGTCTGTCCCTTCCCTGACCGCAGCATTGTTCTTCACGGCTGACGTTTACCATGCACCAGCTGCAAGCCAGTGGCTCCCCAACACCCTTCACTGGCTCCTCATAACAGCCCTGCAGGCAGGCATTATTCCCACAAGGCTGAGGGAGGGCAGGCAGCTTGCCCAGAGTCACATGGCTAGAAGGGCGGAGGTTGTCCCAGACTCTTCCAACTACAGTCGGCTGGATCAGAATGTGTAGGAGCAGGGCCAAGTACAAATGTATAACCTGAATCTTATCATGAGGAAATGTCAGATCAACTCAAATAGAGGGAAAGTCTGCAGAAAATTGGTTTGTACTCTTCAAAAATGTCAATGTTATGAAAGACAAAGAAAGGTAGAAAAATAGTTTCAGTTTACAGGAAACCAAGAAGATGTGGCAAGAAAATGCAATACATGTTCCCAGCAGAAAGAAAAAAAAAAAAAAAAACCACTGCTGTTAGGACATTTTTGAGATAATTGGTGAGATGTGAAAATAGACTGTAGACTATAGTGTCGTGTCATCGTTAAATTTCCTAATTTTAAGAATTATATCTTAGCTATGTAAGAATGGCCTTGTTTTTAGGAAATACACACTGAAATATTAAAGAGTAAAGGGGCCTGATTTCCACAACTTAACTCTCAAAAGACCCAAGGAAAAAAATAACACCAAAATGTATCTATATCTACATCTAGGTATAGATAGATCCATCCTTCCCTCCCTCTACAGAGAAAGAGTAATAAAGCCAATGTGGTAAAACGTTAGCCCGAATACGTAGATGGGAGTAGGAGTGGGAATAGGCACTCTGTTACTTTTGCAACTTTTCTGTCAGTTGAAATTATTTCAAAGTGAAAAGTTAAAAAGAAAGGTGTAGGGAGCTCTGGGAGGGAGTGAAGGACGTGTGTGTTGGGGGGCAACAAGGCTGTCCCGGGAGTCAGAGCACAGAGGGGGCTCACGCAGATGGCATTGATGTCCGACTCATGGCCAGTGAAAGTCTGCCGGCAGGTCCCTTCCCGCACGTCCCAGAGCTTGGCGCTGGCATCACAGGCCCCCGAAATGAAGAGTTTGAAGTCAGGAGACACAGCCAGGCTCATGCAGTCCCCCGTGTGTCCCACAAACACAGTCTTCTGCTGCCCGGTCTCAATATCCCACAGAGCACTGCCAGGAGAAGGTGAGACTGTCACAGAGAAAGGCCAGGACAGAACTGCCTCCCAAGCCCAGAACTCACAGCATTCTGTCCTCACCACGTGGTGTCTCCTGAGCTGGTTACAATGTTGTTGTCGTCCAGGAAGCGGCAGCAGGAGAGATAACCTGGGGGTGGTTAGGACAGTGCCCTGGTTGTAGAGCCACAACTGGCCATGCCGGGGGCTTCCTTGGACCCCTTGGGACAGAATGGGGAGAGGGTCTCTTACTCACCTGTGTGAGCAGAGAGCTCCCGGCTGACCTTGACATTGCCCTCACGGGACTTGAGGCTGTAGATGGAGCACATGTTGTCTAGCCCCCCACATGCTACGAAGTTCCCTGATGGGGCATAGGCACAAGTCATGACCCAGGAGGAGCGCAGCGGAATGGCGTGCACCTGCAGGAGGGTGGGGTGGGCAGAGACAAGACCTGGGTTGAGCTCCCGGGTGGGGATGGTAGACATAAAGCCTCCCAAGGAAGGACATGGTGATGGAGGGGCAGGAGGCAGGCCTGGTACCTTATTGGTGGTGTAGGTGTCCCACACAATCAGCTTTCCATCTTGCGAGGCACTTACCAGCAACCTGGGGAGAGGGTACCCCATGTCACCCAAACGCCTCCTTCCTCCCTCCCCCTCCCCTCTGGGCACCTCTCAAGCCTCACTTGGAGTCAGTGGCCCAATGCATGGCATAGATCTTGGCCAGGTGTCCCCTTAACGTCCGCCGTGTCCGCATCTGGACTCGTCCCACGACCTCTAGGCCAGACACCAGCTGCAGAAAAGGGGGCATTAAAAATCAGGTGAGCAGGGTATGTGCCCAGATGTCAGTGTTACAGCCACCAATCTGTACAAGTTTCTGTTTCATACCAGGCTCCAGGTCAGGCCCCCAGCCTTAGAGAAATAAGTTCCTGCCCTAGAGTGGCTCAGGGTTGATGTGGGAGGGAGCTACATGTATGTCCGGTGGCATGTTATTAAGTGTTTAACAACCGCCTCGCCAGTGTGGGATGGGGGAGGACGAGGGGAGGCGGGAGGGTGATTTCTATCCTGTAATTCTCCCACCTTGACCAATTTCAAGTTACCAGTGTGAAGTCACTGAAACATGACTTAGGAAGAGATGCACGCATTCGACCGTTCCAAACCACTAGGAACCTGCCCCCACACCATTGCAGCCTGACCAGGTCTTTAACTTGGTACCTAAAGTATCACCATGACCTTGAACTGCACCTCCTGAAATTTATGGTCCTATGCCCCTTAAACTCTATCCAGCTTCTAGACTTAGGCTGAGGCTCCAGGGCCAATAGATTTGACTTGCCATTTACCTGCTCTGTTATCTTGGGCAAGTTACTTAACCTCTCTGAGCCTGTTCTCTAATCTATAAAATTTTTATAGCACCTACCTTATGGGGTTGTCATGAAAATAAAATGAAATTATTTAAACAACTTAGCCTGGTGTCTGGCTCATGGTAAGTGTTCAGGATATTTAATCCCATCTAAGATGCTACAGACTCTAAGAAGCACCTTTCTTTTATGTATCACTGAGAAAAAAATTCTAATTTTCATTGTAAGGCATCATCCAGTATTGGATGCAGCTTGATTACAGAAATGTCAAAATGTGAAAAAATGTGCAGCTTAGAATTGACGAAGTACAGTATTAGATAACTAGTAACTAGAGTCTACAACGCTTTGTGGTTTCCAAAATACTTTCCCTCTCTTTATCTTCACCACCCTGGGAGGCAAGGGGATGTAACCAGTCTTGTTTTATGGACGAGGATAGGGACAGCGTCTTGTCCTTAGCCTCCAATATGATGCTTTCAATACAGTGCCTGGCCCAGAGCAGATCTCATTGTTTGTTGAATGAATTAATTAATATCATTCCTCATTCCAAGGACATGCTGTACTAAAGCTTGGGCTAGTCAGGGAGCTCCCATCCCTTCCCCTACCCACAAGCCGCCTCAGGGGGACAGGAGTCTCACCTCTGCCAGAGTAATGTCAGCACAGGCTTTCCTGGCATCCTGGGGAGGGGAAGCAGACATCAGGGGAGGAAAGGGCGGGGGTGGGGTGCGACACATGTGCCTCCGAGGTAGGTGGGCTTGGGGCTCTACTGTTTGGGGACATCTCAAATATAAGACCCAAGTTCAGGAGGTCTCTGGTAATTTCCAGGTCAGAAGTCTCTAAGGTGTCACTCAGGAATGAATTTAGCCTCCTTCCCCTTAGGCCACACTCCCTCATGTCCCCAGCTTCTTGTTTCCTGGGGTCCCCAATGAGAAGGTTCTGAAGTTACGGCAATCTGCTTCTTGAGCTGCTCCGCTTCCTGCCGCAGCTGTTCCATCTCCCCCATGGCTGACGAGTTGAGGGGTACCTCCGGCTCCTGTCAGGAACACGGGGTAGCTGTAGGGGGATCCCCACCAGACCATGTTTCTGTCCCTCACATCCCACACGAGACTCCTCATGAGGGCTGGAACCCACTCCAAGAAATAAGGAAACGACTGAGTGTCCTGCACCACCTCCCCCACCAGCCCCTCCAAGTTCGGATCCTGTGCTGCCAGCCCCAGCCCTGCCCGAGCCCTCCCTGCAGCCCCCAACTCCAGAGAGCGGAACCAGGCCAGCTCCCTCTTACTTGGGCTCTGACTGGACCTCTCCCAGGTTTCCAGCTCTGGTTCCCAGGCGTCTCCTCACTCCTTCAGCTGTGATGCCAGCCCGTCACCTGCCCTGGCTCTGCTGCCAGAGGAACTGGCCTGGCCTGGCCCCACTCTGGGCACTCGAAGGGGGGGGCACTGACAGGGGAGGGGAGGGCCAACCAGGTCAGGCAAATGAAATCAGCTGGCAGGGGTGGGGGAAGAGGACAGGGAGAGAGGTGTGTGGCTTCCAGAGAGACTTGGGCCCAGCATGGGGGAGGGGAAGGAGCAGGACTGTGGGGCCATAGAGGAGCAGCCCCCCACAGGCAGCTCTGGAGGGAGGAGGGGTGGAAGGGGTGCTTCCCTGGTCTGTCTCTTTGCAGGCAGAGAGAGGAGCATCAGGCCCCATGGGATTAGAGCAAAGCTGTGAGGATTAAGGGTTAGGGTTTGGGAGGGTGCAAAAGAGCAGTAGTCACCATAGCTCCAGCAGCCCCCTCAGGCCCTGGCCCCCACCAATGGTGATGATCTTGGCAGTCAGGGCCTACCTAGCAACCAGTCCAAGAGCCAGAATACAAGGGCGAGAGATGGCCCATTTGTCAATACCCCAAACTGTGTCCCTTAGCTCAGGGTGGTGGGGGAAGAGGGTTCTGGTGAATATAGGGAGGGTGCAGGCAGGAGCTGAGATTAGAAGGGACTGATCTGGATAATCCTTCTTCCCAACAAACCCTAACCAGCTGCCCCAGGGTCTGATCCTGGGGGGCAGGGGGAGGTACAAGGGATTCAGAGAGAAGGATGGACAGGCCTGCCCCTAGTCTGGGTAGAGAAAGGATTGCAAGTGGAGGGCAACCCCATCCCGTGCTCCCACCTGGGGTTTGGCCCACTCCTTGTCCCCATGACTCACGGGGTCCTGCTGGGGCTGTGAAGGCAGGAGCCAGAAGGATCAGGCTGCCCTAAGTCTTGGCCAAGCTCAGAGGGAAGACAGGGCTTAGAGTTGGAGGCCCAAGGAGCAGCTGTCAGGGGTTTGGGTTCATTTGCATGAGGGGAGCAGGTGGCAGAGATTTCCCTGACAAATCACAGGCTTAAATGGCCCTGCCTCAGGGAGGCCCAAAGACACCTGTCTCCTCCCAGGCCAGCTATAACCACTCCCACCTTCAACGGCCGGGGCCACGGAGACAGAACACACTTGACTGGCCCTGGCTGAGGGACCTTCATGTTCTTTATTGACAGGCTGGGAGGGGGCTGGGAGCGTTATTCCCTCTCTTCATATGAAGCAGTCAGCCTCATCTCCTGCCATTTCTTTCTAGGGAGGCATTGTGTCTTCTGTCTGTCCTAGGGTAGGAGGTCCATCAATTGGGGCCAGGCCTGGCTCCCCAGACCTGGTGAGCTCTAGGCTGGTCTGTGCAGTGTCCTCTGAGTTCAGTACTGGACAGTCCTTGTGATCCCCAAGATTGTCGGGGTACAGGGACAGAGAGCTCACTGTTCTGCTCCTGTCACATGGGAGCTTCTTGTGGGTCCTGGCATCAAGGCAGCCCTTCACAAGTCAGTGGCCACATCCCCAAGGAGCTGGCTCAGCCCTTCATAGCTCCTCTCGGACCCGAGGAGGCTTCCCAGACTTGTCCTGGACTCGCTGAAGCCGGCGGCTAGGGGGCTCTGGAGAAGGGTCTCTGCTGGGCTTTTTTTCCTTTTCTTCCTCTTCTTCTTCTTCTTCCTCCTCCTCTTCCTCCTCCTCTGGCTCCTGCAGGAGCTCTTTGGCTTCTGTCCACTCCTGGGAGGTGGGAAGAGAGTCTGACCCAATACCCTGCATTCACCCTGCCCCAACGACCCTCCCTGAGTCATCTCAGTCCTTGTCCCTCACCTGGCAGCCTGCCCACGCTTCACACACCAGGAGAGATATCCCCTCTTATGCCTGCTCCTCCTCACCTGTTCCCTGTGCTCAGGTGCCCACGTGTGCCACAGCGCCAGGGCACAGCGCCGGCCCCGCGTCACAGCCCACACACCATGGGGATTCTCCCCACCAGAGCTGAAGGCCACGAGGCGTCCACAGCGAGGACGAACCTGAGCCTGGAGGATGAGGACAGGTTCAGCTTCAGAAATAGGCCCTCAGAGAACTTGGCCCTGACTACTAGAGCAGGATGGAGCAGGGAGCACCGAAAGGTCAGCTCTCTTGCCCATCACATCCCACTCCTTAATTGAGGGTCTATCTTGGGACAAATGGAAAATCGGCCTCCACTTGGGGAGCACAAATGCCAGACTGAGGCTAGAGGAGTTGGAGCCAAAGGGAGAAGGGGCCTCCATTGAAGGGTCTCCCGTTGATTCCATCACCCCCACCCCCAGTGCCCTGACTTTTCCTGTGCAATCCTTTGAACTGTGTATGAAGCAATCTGTGGGAATGAGTGTAGGACCAGACTCTGGGGACTGGGGATAAGGATCTTAGGGACATTTTCCACCCCGAGCAGGGCTTGGATTATAGGTAGCTGGTACTGGTGAGTAGAGAAGGAGGAAGTTAGGTGAGACAGAGTAATACATGATGAGAAATCACTGCTCCTCTCCTTCTACCCAATTCTAGCCCCTAGTTTCTACCTGGAACTAGGGTCCGGAGGGGCCACTTCAGGACCTCCTGGAGGACATAATCAACCTCTGCTAGGAGAACCCCTGAACACAGACAAGTGGTGGAGAGGGCAGGAAAGGAAAGAGTTAAGGTGGCCCCAGCCATTTCCCTGCATTTGCCTCTGGGAACCTTCTGTTTTGAATCCTGAGCCCACAGCCTGGCTCCCTGTCCCATCACCCACCCTCCACCCCACTTACCCTGACGGTGAGGGCGTTGGGCTCTGTGAAGAACAGGTCCCCACCCTGGAAGTCATCGTTGAGGTAGAGGAGTCCACTAAGGGAGGAAAACAAGAGGCAGTGAGATCTCAATCCAGGCCCACTTGCCTGACCCTGGAGGGGCTACCCACCTGTAGTCTCGATAGGTATAGGCTGGGGGTTCCCGCCAACACTCTCCAGTGTCAGGGTCCAGGATGCAGTTGTCGGCATGCACCGGGTGGCTCAGGTCCATGCGCTGCTCTTGCTCTCCTAGGAAGCAAAGGGGTGTGGTGAATGCTTCTATGCCTCCATGACCATCCACCACCATCCACGCTCACCCTACAGCTCTGGGGTCACAGCTGGGCAGAGAGGCCAGGCCCCAACCTGGGCAGGGCAGTCAGAGTCTTTCAGGAGTGAAGAAGAACCCGCACACTTTGAGGATGCTGAGGGTGTGCAGGGGCCCGAGGTTGGGGAGGAGCAGTGGGGGTCCTGGCAGTTACCTTCGATGGCACTTCGGCACACCAGGTGGGTGAAGGAGAGATGCAGGGGCCTTTCTGGGGAGAAGTAGGCCTGAGTCAAGGTCCGCACACGCTCGCTCACCTCCAGAAGCAGCTTAGCACCCTGAGTGCCCACAGCCCCAGCCCGGGCCAGCTGGAGACAGTGGAAGGAAGGGCAAGAAAGGAGGGAGGCAATGGAGGGGTGGGTTTGGAGTCTTTCAGCAGCCTGCCCTGTCCATCGGCACCAACTGCTCCTTCCATTGGCTCCACGACAAGAACTCAGGCCCTGAGGTCTCGGAACAGCCCCTCTTCAACACTGGGCAGAGGACTCAAAGACTCTCAGAAGAGCCCCTCCACAGCAGAAGCCCAGGCCCTGGTGCCCAGCCTCCTGCATACCCTCTTCTCCAGCTCTGGGCATCAGACCAGGGCATGGAGGTTTCTTCCCTCACCTGTGCAGCCTTGAGCACCGTGAGCCCCTCGAAGCGTTCATGGGGGGTGTGAGGGGAGCGGCGGCCTCGATAGCCAGACCTGGATCCAGCCTCAGCTGCATCCTGAATAGGGGGGGAGGTGACTCTGGAGTCACTGTCCTTTGGTCTCAGACTACATCCCACCTCACTGCCCACAGGGCTAAACCTATCCTTCTCTAGAAGAAGCTGGAAGCTCCCAGAGTTCTCTGGTGGTTCCTTTTCCTGAGCTGCTGCCCTTCCCCAGAGAATGACTATCTTCATGTCTGTACTGTCACTATCTGGTCAAGATCTGGAATCCCGCTCACCGAGGGATCTGTGCACAGAACTCTAGAGAGCATCAGAGTGAAGAAGGAGCCTGTGAGAGGGTAAGGACAGCAGGGAAAGGGGGACAGGAAGGGCCTGATTATTCATCCCTGATGAGCCAAGAATAGAGGAATCTCTCTGGAAACAGGATCCCAGCTGGAAGTTCAGCAGTCAGGCCAGGTCCAGCCAAGCTTGCTCTCTCTCTCTCTCAATCTCTCTTTCTCTCTCTCTCTGACATCTTTCCTCTTGACACGCTCTTGGACAACATGAGAACCCTTGATGCAATGTACCACTTACACAGCCGCCTACATGACTGTCATCACCTGGGGTCTCCTAGTATTTGGATATCCCTTTCCTGACTACTGTTCTTCTGCCTGTGTTGAAACTCAGTTAAAGTACCACTACCTAGTTACCCCATATATAAACCTCATCTTTGAGAGACCACCTTGTCATTCAAGCCTAACTTTATATTCTTGTATTCATTCATTCAACAAATTTGTACTGAGTACCTACTATGTGCCAGGCACTATTCTAGGCTCTGGGGAGACAACTGTGATCATGAAAAGGTCCCTGCTCTCATGGGGTTTATATTTTCAGAAAATAAACAAAAACAAACAAACAAACCAGATCAATTCAAATAAGTGTTACAAAGAAAATGAAAACAGGGCTATCACCTTGAGAATGCCCAGGCAGGGGCTGGAGGACAGCTAATTGATGAGATGACATTTAATTTGAAACCAAATGATATAAAGAAGTCACTTGAATATCTGAGGGAAAAATGTTCCAGGCGGCAGAAACAGCACGTAAAAAGATCACGAGGCCAGAACGAGTTTAGTGTGATCAAGGAACAGAAAGGTCCGACTTGGGAGTTATCCTTGATGCTATTCTTTCATCATCTTCCACAGAGATTTAGTCCTTAACTTCTCTACCTTTGATTTTCTAAATATTTCTCTTCTGTCCCCGTTCTCCGTTCTGTTGAAATGAGGACCTGACCCCGGGCAGTGGCACTCTTGCATCGCCCCGGGGTCTCCTCCTTGGCTCTCCTCTCCCCCTGCATTCTCTACACTGCCACTAGAGGGATCTACCAATTCTACAAGATGGTGGTGACTCCAGACTCTGCACTTGGAGGTTGCACAGGAACACGGAAGCCAAGCCCTCCTTAAATCCTTCAATAAGCTGTCCATCATCTACAAATAAAGTTCCAACTCCTTGGTGGGGTGCAGAAGGCCCTTCACCATCTCTCCTGTGCCTCCACCTCTGGGTGTCTCCCCTATAACATCTCTGAATAACACACAGCCTGATGATAACAGTGACAGCTAATACTGAGCACTTTCTAAACTCTTCTAAGACCTTGACCATGTACTAACTCATTTAATCCTTACAACGACCCTATGAAGAAACCACTGTTCTGGCTCCATTTTATAGATGAGAAAATTAGATTCATAGATGTTAAAATACATTGCCCAAGGTCACACAGGTAGTCACTGCGGGGGCTGGCCCATGCCCTTAACCCCTGTGTTCCACTGCAGTTTCCAGAATACACATTGTTCTTCTCCCTCACAGCCTGACTCTCCTCCCATTCTCTGCCTGGTTAACTCATCCTTAAGATGGATCTCAAATGCCACCCCCTAACCCAAGCCTTCTATGACCTTGCATTTCGGTACTTCTATTTGGAAGAGTATGAGGTAGGTACTTCTTTTAGCAAACTTAGGGCAGTGGCTCTAATTACGCATCTCCACATATGATTCCTTCTCTCTACAGGGAGCTCCCGAATGCAGGGTTCACCTACCTCTCCCTGGAACCTAGAAGCTTTGCATACAGAGCAGGTACTCAAAGAGTGTGTGTTGAAGGAACACTAGCCTAGAATGAGGACTGAAGCTTCAAAAATGTCAGACTCATTGTGGTGAATATGGCTCATTCAACCCCAACGAGGAGGGGATGCAACGGGTGGGAAAAGAGGCCTGTGTATCTAGCGAGCCATCAGCCAGGCCAACCACAACATTCCAAGGAATCTACACCTGCAGACTCACACTTTTTTATGCTTTTATGTTTTTTGCTTTGTTTTGTTCTTCCTATCAATTTCTAGCAAAATTTCTTTGTACGGAATGTCCACCCCATGCCCTCTAAGCTGAGAGAAAAATTAACTTGTCCACAGAAGTGAGGCAGTGGCAGGCCCAGTCCCCACTGGAGAATCAAAGGGGGCAGAACATGGGGCAAGCCAAGAGCAAGGAAGCAGGCAGCCGCGCCTGAGGGCTCCTCACTAGCCAACTATGCCACCTACTCACGGGTCTTCTTACCTTGGCCAGCTGCAGCAGCACCCCACACTCAGCTGGGGTGAGCAGACCATCCAACACTGCTCGCTCAGACCCATTCAGCTGTCTTGCATCCTGGGTCAGGGTTACTCCCTCTAGGAGAAGGACATCTGTAGGGGAAGGGACAAGTCAGAGGGAGTTGAGGGTCCCCTGAAGGTAAGTCCCGCAGTAGCCCCAGCTGGCAGGCCTCGGCTGGCAGGTCCCAGATCCTCCAGGCTCCTGCCTTCTACTCTCCCAGGAACTTACCTTTCCAATAAGTCAAGGGCTTCTGCTGCGGAGGCTCATGGTCCCAAGACCGCTGCTCTTGATCCTCTCTCAGGGGTGAGAGACATGCTCAGTGGATGCACAGACCAGTCCAGACCCATGTTCCCCAGACCCAGCCTCTCAGGACCCCTTCCATCACCCTCCAGCTCAGGCAGGCCCCTCCCACCACAGGCATCACCTACCTGAGCTTTTCTCTAAGTGTCTCAGGGATGAAAGCTGCTGGGGTCCAGGGATCCTAGAACAGTCAAGAAAAGCGCCATCACCCACCAAGTCCAGCCCCGATCCCTGACATTAGACTCTGAACTACCACATTAAGGTTCTCCTGCTTCCAGAGAGCAAGGTGTGAAAAGCCCTGGGAACTGGGCCAAACTCTGTAATAATAAGAATAATAACAACAACAAAAAAAACCCTTACTATTTGCCAGGTGCTATTTTAAGAGCTTTATACATGGAAGTGGGATGGAGAGAAGTGGAGTTACTCACAGGATCCTTGAAGCTGGTCCCCAGGTGCTCCATGGCATAGTAGAGCTGTCTCTTCTCCCCAAGGGATCGAAAGACGAAGCGCCGAATGTCCTAAGGTGGGGTGGATAGCAGGGGGTGAGACAAGGAGAAGTTCAGTGGGGCACGGAAGTAAAGGCTGGAGGAGAGGAGGGCAGCCCCAAGTTCTGGAGGACAGCCTGCATGCTTCTGGAACACTTCATCGTGCCTCTTTATTCAACTCAGCAGCTTCAAGGCATCTGGGCTCAAACTGGGGGAGAACTGTGTACATAGGGTGGGGGCAGGCAGGGATGAGGTTATGAGAAGAGGGATGAGCTGGCGTTTGGACTCAGAAGTAGTGTCTGAAGTGGGAGTGGGGATTGGAGACAAGTCAATACTGGACTTGGGGTTGCCTCTCGTGACTAGAGTGTTTAGGCAAAAATGGGGGGTGAGATCCAGGTTACTGCTCAGGTATACTTGTTTGATTTAGGGCTACCTCACAGGGTAAGAGTATGTGGGGTTACCTCTCTTGGCCCGAGGCCCGGTCTCGGCTCCCCAAGCTGAGTCTGATACCGGTTAAGAGCTTCCTTGGCAGCCTCATCCTCCGGGTAGAAGAGCAGGACACTCAGGACATTTTCCATCGCCTGGGACAGATTCCCCACTGGAGACGGAACAATAGAGTAGGGTGGGGTATATAGACTGAGAATAGCCTTGTTCCCTGGGCAGAGGCGGCAATGGTAGGTCAGAACCAGACCGGGAAAAGGTAGTCTCCCAATGCCAATCAACTCCAAAGGCCCCATTCCCTGGCAGACATGCTTCTTCACTACTGCTTCTTTCCAAAGCTTACTCAAACATACCTGAGCTGAATGTGCAGAGTTCAAAGGGGAGGAAGAGAGGAGAGAATAAAGGAAGTTGAGAAGGAGCCCTGTGACCCATCTCCCGAACTTTCTACAATGGCGCCAAAGGAAAGCAAGATAAAGTCCTCCGGAAGTGATGGTCCCCATGGAGCCCTGACCAACTACAGGTCCAGAGACAGATGGGAGGGATGGAGAGACAGGGCTCAGGATACCATCAGAGACAAAACTTCCCTTCCCTGTTTCCAACCCGACACCCCCAAGGGCTCACTCTTCCCCAACTGACCCTGAGCATGGGCCTCGTGCAGCCTCTTCAGCTGGTTGGGAAGGAAGTCAGGGACAGGGAACATGCGACCAGGCCGTGTAGCTGTGTCCCCCACACAGCGCTGCCGGCATTGCAGGACCCGAATCCAGTGCCCTGCGGAGGACACACTCAAGTCACTCAGCTTGTCATGTTCTTCCCCTTGGTACCAGGTACCCTTCACTCTCCCAGCTCTTTACCTGCAATGGCCTCATAGAGGCCCCCCTTGCTCCCAGTTCCTTCCTCTTCTTCTTCCTCCCTTTGCTGCTCCTCAGGCCCCTCACAGTCAGCCCGGCAACTCTCTATCTGGGACAGGCTCTCCTGCAGGGCTTCCTCAAGCCTGGGCAGTGCCAGTCCTGTCTCCTGGCGCCCCAGTAGCTCTAGGCCAGAGTCATAGGCTGCCTATTGGAGAGGGGAGTGGTCAGTCACCTGAGATCCTGGGGGAGGGAGTGCCAAACAAGATCCAGAGGTAAAAAGAAGGGGAAGGGTGTTAGTCTCATTTGAGGCATGGAGTGCAGGTCTCACTTCACCCTGGGGAAGACAGGAGTGGGCCTCAGAATCGGAATGTTATAACAGGGGACTTTAGGTATCCTCAGGAAGAAAACTAAGTCCCAAGGAAGGACTCTCCATCCAGGGTCAGAGGACAGTTCCCAGATCTCCTGATGCCCAAGATACATAGGGCCACAGTCCAGGGAGGCCTGTGGATTCTGCTAGTAAACAGCTGGGGGTGGGTCAGGGAT